AGATTTGTTCAAGATCTTATTGGTATAATATCTTACTGTGATCCAAAGACGATTTTTCAAAAAAGTATACTTTTTAAAAATTTTAACCACAAAAATGGACATAGCTAAGTATTTTAAGGCAAATGAGTGTATTTTTAGTCATTTTTGAGTAACTTTTATTTTCGGAGATTTGTTCAGGATCTTATGGGTATAGTATTTTACTGTGATCCAAAGATTTTTCAAAAAAGTATATTTTTCTGAATTTTAACAACAAAAATGGACATAGCTAAGTATTTTAAGGCAAATGAGTGTATTTTTAGTCATTTTTGAGAAACTTTTATTTTCGGAGATTTGTTCAGGATCTTATTGCTATAGTATTATACTGTGATCCAAAGATGATTTTCCAAAAAAGTATATTTTTTCTGAATTTTAACAACAAAAATGGACATAGCTAAGTATTTTAAGGCAAATGAGTGTATTTTTAGTCATTTTTGAGAAACTTTTATTTTCGGAGATTTGTTCAGGATCTTATTGCTATAGTATTATACTGTGATCCAAAGATGATTTTCCAAAAAAGTAAATTTTTTCTGAATTTTAACAACAAAAATGGACATAGCTAAGTATTTTAAGGCAAATTAGTGTATTTTTAGTCATTCTTGAGAAACTTTTATTTTCGGAGATTTGTTCAGGATCTTATTGGTATAGTATTTCACTGTGATCCAATGATGATTTTCCAAAAAAGTACATTTTCTTCTGAATTTTAAGTATTTTAAGGCAAATGAGTATATTTAGTGATTTTTGAGAAACTTTTATTTTCGGAGATTTGTTCAGGAACTTATATAATATGTTGCTTTCGATCAATGTTCCAATGTCCCATCATAAAAAAGGGCATAATAACATATGTTAAGGCAAAAACACAGAGTTAAAAGTAATTCCTATTGTTTAACTATATTTTAATATATATTTATATATTTAATATATTATAATTATACATATTATAATACTTTTTAATACCAAAGTGGGTGTGGTTCTCTTGTATGACATTATGATCTATTATTGAATGCCGCAATATAGAGAGCAACAGGTAAACATAGAATATTGTACATACCTAAAAACCATCTGAATGACAGAAAACCTAAAGATGTCCAATGGCAGAGTAGTCTCAGCTGCACAATGTCTGTGTGGAGAACAGAACAGAACAAAGAAAAAGCAACTTAACTTCTGTGAAAACAATGGGAGCACGATGCATTTCATGTAACATTATTGCAGAATGACAGGGTGTTGCTCCAGAACCGTGTCGCCATTGTACAATTAAACCAAACGTGGCGAAGCAACTTGTGTTTTGTGTCCCTTCGTTGAATCTGCTCGTCCTACCATGTGCGCCTATTATTTTGGTCACCTTGGGAGAAATGTGCCATATGTGTTTCAAGCCTACGGCGCGTCATTATGTGATATTATATGAAAAAGACAGATGGAGTGAAATGGAGACTGTCACGGTTTTAGCCACATTTCTCTGCTCTGCTGTTTGTTTTCCCCACTTCTAAAGGAGATTCTTTCACGAAGGCTGTTGCAGCCAAAAAAAGAAATAATCAGTGACACTGACATTTAAAAAAAAGGTTGGTTTTCGGAACAATAAAAAAACATGAGGTTGTCATTGATGATATTTACTTTTAAAATTGTTTTTTGTTTCACAGTTTGATGTTCACAGTGGTCCCTCGTCTATCGCGATGGTTACGTTCCAAGACCACCCATGATAGTTGAAAAATTGCGAAGTACAAACACAATAGTGATTATATTATCTACATATATATTAACCCTTTACAAACTCTTTAGAAGGCATCGTAGGGCGTGGATTAGGGCAAAATACTTAACAAAACTTTCACAAATCCCATACACCCGTACGTACAGGTTATTTCTTACAATACTCTGTATGTATGTGTTAGAAAATGTCTTTTAATGTATTTTTTACTATTTTTTAACTGCTATTCTTTCTTCTTAGACTAGACAATGCTTATTTTACCACGAAAATAATGAACATTTTGGAAATTTAGACATTTTACACAACGCAAACACCCGCAACAGAGCGAAAAATCTGCAATACAAGAAGACATTTAAAATATTAAAAACCCACAATGCACCAAGGACTTGACAGCTGAACCGTGATACGATGAGGGACGATTGTATTTCATCCAAAGTAAGTTACTTTGGATAAAGACATGGATAAATGTGAATGTAAATATAATACACAGCTAATATTAAAGTTATTAAAGTATCATATCTATTAATCTTTATATGAACTAAGGTTAACAATATGTAGTTGGTCTACTGAAGGCTAACTTTAAAACATTACCTCATCATTAACGAGAGCTCATTCTTTAATGTCTGATAGTTTTCATATAAACCTCAATAAAACCATTTTCAAATTCTACTGTACATCTATGTACCTTTGTTTGAAAAGTGGAAGATAAAATGCAACCAATGTGCTGCCAGAGTTTACAAAAGTACAAATTTAAAATCTTACTAGGAAGAAAATGTTTGTGCAGAGAAGAAGAGCAACTTTGCTTGTCAGAAAGGGAAGAACAAAAACCTCTGGATCAGCTCTGTTCATAAATCATGTTGTGCATTATCAGCACAAGTACAAAATTACCAGTGAATACAGTACATTAAAAAAAACAACCAACAACACCTCTGGAAAAACATCACTGGAAAAGTATGAATTATGAATACGGTACCAGGTATCTGTCCTCGGGGATTAGGTGAAGCTTTGGCACGTACTGCTACAAAACAGGATGGAAAAATACACGCTGATAGTAAAGGAATGTCACAAAGCAGCAGTGGTTGAAAACAGTCAGATATCTGGTAAAGAATTCATAAAAACACACTTCTTTGACAGAAAAGAATGTGTGCAATAACAGGATAATAGAAGCTGTTTTCTTTACAGACCTGTGTGTGTGTGCAGCGAGTTCTTGAGGGTCTGCCACTTTCAAAACTTACACAGTAAAATCAGTCATAACGGCTGCTGTAACTATTTCTCAACACGTCGCAACTTTAATAAACCTCCCTTTTCCCTTTAAGCTTTATTTAGATTCCATTATTTTAATTGCACATCTTTGCTTTGCTGTGTGTTTAATGAGCTGTCAGCTCCGGTGAAATCCTTGCCGTGGCTGATGTAAATGAGTTTCAATGATGGGAAAGAATTGCATTTAAGTCGTTTTTATTAAATGCGTGCATGAAGTGACCAAGTGGTTGTCTCTGCCACATGACTGCAGTAATAAATGGAGAAACTTGCCTGTGCAGCACCTTCATTTGTCAGTGAAAATGAAAATGAAAAGTCATTCAGTGTTTTCAATGACCAACTTCAATTGGTTTGTTGAACTAATGTGTAAATTCATATCTGCAGCACAATGGGAAAATTATATATTATATATTATTATTATATTATTTTAAAATAAATTTGCCAGGTAGAATTTCAATTCATTTGTACTGTTAAAAAAAAGCATTCCATATTTTGGAATGTGGATTTATCTCAAATAATCATGATTAATCATGACAAATCGCAATCACAATTAATCAAGGTAAATCTTGATTGATGAAAAATCTGAATATTATTATTATATATATATATATATNCTAGTCCTAATAATTTGGATAAAAAGCCTGATGTAAAACAAATTTGGAAATCACCTGGGAAACAGTTAACTGAGAGCCGAAGTTCTGACTCACCCTTTTCAGCTTTGTCTGTTGGAGCAACTCGCACATTTCTGCTGGGACCTTTTCACTCGTCTCTTTTATCTGTGAGAGGAAGAGAATGCAGTGATGAAGAATAGTCAGTGTGTTACATTAACAATAATGACGTCAGACGTACAGGACACATGCACTGTATTTACATGCATGAGCACCAAACAGAACATTCAACAGCCATGTTCCATCACTGTGAAAAAAAGTAAACCTATTCAGTGGGTTATAAATATCATGAGAGTTTATGGAGATTCTTGGAGCAAATCATTTAGAATTTATTTTCATCACAGATGTTTAGTTTGCTGTGCATTATTTTTAGTGTCATTTAGTCAAAAATTACCTTTTTTTTATTTCTTGGTTTAGCTGAATTTTCTATTTAGACACAGAAGGGGCTTTTAATTCAGCAGTGCATTAATGTGTAGTTATAATGGGGGAGGTTTACTTTTTTTTTTAGGTGGAAGTTAAAGATTATATTAGCACCGTGGTTATTAGCGTTACCTGCTTAGTGTTTTTTCTTCTTTTCAGTCCCGTGATCTAGACTCTTAATGAGAGTCAGGCTCCAGGTGAACTAATCACAAAAAGAGTTCAAATGAGCCGAAAGGACGTCGGCTTCGCTGTTTAGAGCAGAGTGTGTGCGGCTCACAGCTTTGTCAGGTTAAAGATGCAGAAAGAGGTTAGAAAAACATGGAGCTGTAAGAATAGACACTACACACTGAGTGACAAGTTGTTTTTTTTCCACTCAGTCGCCAACATACTAAGTAAAGGGTGAACAACATTTAGGTTTTATACAAACCTATTTAAAATATATTTTTATGATAATATGTGAGGACTTCTTACCTCCTTAAACTCCGTACCATTCTCAGTGTTTCTGTTTATAACATTGGAGAATGGATCAATAAAGAATGAATTAGCAAAGGCACTTAGCAATGAGACAGGTTTTTAACAAGAATTTCATTTGGGACAGGTTAGTAGCATTTCTTTAGGGAGTGAGTTAGCCATTACCTCACAGTATGTATGTTAATTTGGCTCCATTATGTTAATAAATGTGGACAAAGACGACACTGGATTGTTTCAGAAACTATCTATTTAGAAAGTCTTACACAACTGGGAGGTTTATGTTGTTTTTATTAAATGCTTTATGTACAAATACAGATTACACTCAGAACAAAGCACGAGTTAGAATTTACACCTTATATAACTGATAAAACCCTGCCACTCATCAATCCGCCGCCCCTTCTAAAATGTTGTTTTGCACAGTTTTGACTTTGCAATCATTGAGTTAAGAAAGAAAAAATCCCAGTATCACGGACAAAGCGAGACGCTGAAACAGGATAAACCATAACCTCAGGCCGTGATCTAAAACGGGGCTCTAAAAACAGCTTAGTATTAAAGTCCACGGCAATGACCATTCTGTGAGACACCATTCTAAAAATTCTACAATCTGCTCAGTACAGGAGTTCACACTATCAAGGCCCCTTGCCGCTACAACTCGTAGCCAAAGGCTCCGTCATTTCAGAGCATGAACAGATGAACCATATGATAAACTAATGTTGCTGGGAGTCAAAGAAGGCTTCACACACACAAAAAGGTTATCAAATATGTGGACTCCGTCTGAATTATTAATGGAAAAAATGGCATTACAGTTATACTAAATTTTAATGTAAAGTTGGTTTTCTGTTAGGAACCTGTGAGTATTATAATCTGATCCAATACTGTTGGAGAGGTTGTACCTGGTTGTTTTTTGTTTGTTTTTTTGCTGCCCAGCAGTTTAAATAAAAAAGAGGAATGTCATCAGGAGAGATGTTTCAATTCTAACTATGCTCAGGATATTATCACAAATACAATGCAACATGAAACAACACTAGATTGTATTTCTAACTCTAACCCATAACAATGAAGAAACATTAAATGGTCCATTACAGATGAGTCCCAGCAATGGTACTGACATTGTGGGTTTATATTTAAGATTTAACTTTTCACTGACAGGCAGGAAAGTCAAGAGATGTGATCGATCAAACTAACTTTCGGTTATTCACACTGTCAACATTTACTAACATCAATGCTGCATGTTAAAAATTTACCTCAAGCTTCCACACGATGTGGGTGGAATTACAGCATTATTAACGTAACATTTTCTGTCGCTTGTTAGAGCCCACTCCCCATTTTAGGAACCACTGGTAAATGCTAACTTCAGTCTGACATATCATTTCTGTCAAGCTCGCTGCTCCTGATACATATTGATAAAAAACAAACCAAAAAAAAAGGTAAAGGTAAAAAATTGAAGAAAATAAAAAACCAAAGCCAAATATGTGGTTTCTGTAATAAATACAACTGTCCCATGGAAGCCAGTGTGAGTTTGTCTTTGTTGTGCTATATTTTGTGAGTCTGAAGAAGACCTAGTCACACTAAAAAGCATTTTAGCGAAATGTCAGGAGACGAGCAACAGGTTTGCTCTGCACCTGCTTGAAACCAATACAACTCAAAAATTAATTTTTAAGGTGAACTTAAAAGATAAAAAGGTTGTGGCCCCGGTGTGAAGATAAACCCTGACATTTCAGTAGTTCAACAGGTTGATGACCGTATGTTGACCTGTTCATTTCAGAGTGTAACAGCAAAAGAAACTGTCATCAGCTGTCTAACTACACCCTGACAAAAATAATCTGTCATTTCTTTTGTTGTTTGTGGTTCTTTTTCTTCCATCAGAAAATCGTAGTTTTTTTAACCTTAACCCAAAGAAATGCGGAGACCAGCTGACGAAACTGACAAAAATCAAAAAGATAGATAGTGATGTTAGAGCTTCTCGTGCTACCCATGTATGAGACATATATCCTGTCTCTAAGGCATGTATCGTTCTGTTGTTACAAAGAATCAAACAATTGTAATTTTTAAATAATTCTCACAATAAATTTATACAGATCTTGAAACGCTTGGTAAGATTTGATTGTGGTTCAGTATTTTTTTCAGTATACTTTTAATCAATAATTAGACATTTCAAGTAACTACATTTTGATTGCCTGTGACCCCAGGGTTCAACAACACTGATATAAGCTGATTATTTTTCTTCTATAGGTCACCACAGCTGTAGTCCACTGTTCAGACACACATTTAATACTCAATGTCCTTCCTGATGCAACTGAGGGGATTTGAACCTGAGATCTCTCACATGATCTCTGGTTTGAGGCAGAGATCCAACCAGGTGCCACTGTAATTTGTGCTGTAGTTTATGATTAGTTCTCCTCTTCATTTAATTGAAATGAAAATATTTTTTTTGTCCTTTTGCAAAATAAAAAGGCTAGAGTTTTTAAACGTACTCTTCTGGAAGAGGGAATTTGTAAAATCATTCTTGTTAATGACTACAGTGACATTTAAAGAGATACATGGACATTTTATGTTTTTTATAGATTTTTTTCTGAAATGACTTTAAGGGGTATTGTTTCGCAACATGTGAGCTGTTTTTTTTTTCTTTTTCATCTCAGTTTCAAGAAGATATTAAAAAAAGTATAAACAGTTTGTAAAAGTTTGGAGGTGAAATATCTGGGGCACCTTCAGTATCTACCATAGGGATGTTTTCTGTAGCCCCCTCTTGTCAGACGTAAAGCAGGGGCTTTCATACTGGGGCGGGTGGCTGGCCATTTTTCCTCTGCAAAATAGAACACAAAAAAAAAACTATTGTAAAACTGCTGAAGAAGCTGAGCACGCTCGTCTCACAAAGTCACACTGCAAGTTCAGGTATTGAACGGCTGGCGCCAAACAAAACCCATTTAACCAAAGACAAGGAAAATCCAAGCGTGCAAATTCTATCCCATCTACTACGGAGCCCCCTGTCCACGGATTATTAATCTCATAAGCTCTGTGCCCTCTGCTGGACCAGTGCTGGGATGCGAGTGTCAGCAGCTCCTCCCTCAGAGCTGCTCCACGTAGCGATGGCCACCTCCGCTGCATGGCACATTGCACATCTTTCAAATAAGAAAGTGTTTATGGAGCAGAAAATCAAATCACTGCCCTCTTGGTTTTTTGGTGTGGTATGACCTCAACACCCAAGTGCACAATTCATTGTGCTGAAAATGAATGGACCTGCAAAACCGCTGTGGTATCCAGCTTCTTGTTGCCGTCATGTGACCACCTCTGAACTATGGCTATTTTAAAATGTACCCTCAGTTTAAGGCTTTTCTGTGCAGAATATACACCCAAACTCCGTAACGTGATTTTTACACACAATATTTTTTCACCTGACTGCAGTTTTGTAAACACAGGAGAGGTCACTCAGCCATGGATGGAGTCAACATGGAATAAGTCTACTGAGGTACATACCCACTGCACTCAACCTTTTCAGTACGTCCTGGTCAGCCTACTGAGCTCACACTGGTGCATTGAATGTACTATGTTTCGGAGCAGTTCTGAAAACAGGTTCTGGTTTTCAGAAATCAATTTCTGTTTGTGTTTGTGTTGTGTTTATATATGTCTGATGTTTTTTTAGTTAAAGAATAAACATGATGTTGAATATGAGTTTTCCTCACCATAGTTGTTGTAGGATTCATCACCGGTTCCATGTTCATATTCATAATAATCTGAAACACTGAAAAGTGACAAAGAAGGAACTATTTTAGAAGTATATACTAATTAAACCAACGTGTGGTAAATCAAACAAAAGGACAGTCTTCTACCATCTAACCAATCAGAGAGATGACAGTATGAAACTTATCCAGCCCTTACACTGTACAGAAACTATACCTGTTTGAGTTATTATTGTAGTTGTCTTCATAGGCTTCGTAACTCTCGTCATCATATTCTCCGCCATATCCATCGTCGTAGCCCTGTGTGCAAACATGGACATGGAGAAGAAGTTAAGGACATAAAGTAAAATACATAATCTATATTTTGTTACAACAGGTAAAGAATGTTGCTTTTGGTTTATAACAAGTGGAGGGAAAAAATCTCCAACAGAGATTAACGACTAAGGTTTGCCAGAGCATAATGGGCAGCTTTGAGCTTTAACAGCAGTATGGATCACAAATATTGATATTTTAGATATATGGGACACAAGCACAACAACACAACCAGTAACTACAGTCACCTTTATAACAATAAAATGCCTACACATTTCTGCAGTGTACATTAAAGATCAATTATGACTTTGTAGGGCATCAGTCACTTGTAAATATTGGTGATCAGATAAAAATAAAAAGACAACACTCTGGGCTGCTATGATGCTGTATATTCATTCTGTTCATTAACAGTGTTCTGTTATGGCACTGCAGACAAATCAGTTTGTAAGGAGGCATTTCTGTAACAACAGTTATGTTAATTGCAAATGTAATGTATCCAGTACATTTTACTTCACAGCCAATATTTGGGCTGCTGTTTGGAATAACATTGCATATAATCTGAAAAACAGAGGCCATTAAGTACACTTTAGGTTCATGTGACCGGCTGACGCTGAATGACCATAGGCCAAAGTGTGTGCAGAGAAACCTTACCTCACTGTCTGCTCTGTAATTGCTCAATCCTGCTCATTTAATGGGTGTTGTAGAGTTTACAGCGGATGTGTTTCTTTTTACCCAGATCCAATCTTTTCTAATCCCTGCAAAGTTTTAAATCAACCCTAACAAATGTTCAGTCAAATGCACAGAGAGCTTTCATGAATCTGACTTATGCACGCGCACATTGAGCTGGTGTGCTACAATCCTTCTGTAACCATTGAGCAGTATCATCTTGCAAAGGCAGAGACAGTGTGAAGGACATTAAGCAAAGCAATGAAAAAAAGAAACATATTTTTTGTGTCTAGCATATATACTCCCTCTCTCTCTGTTGTTCATTTAAACCACTCTGGTTCCTGGATGTAGACATGAATGAGACTAAATTAAAGTCAGGGATTATGTCAGGGATTAAAGTTGTTCAGAGGATCCAATACTTCTTCTCTTCTTGCCTAAGTCTCTCTCTACAAAGGCAAAGCGAGAGATCTGCATATCTCTGTAATTGACCATTTTATTGGCACTCTCACATGACAAATTGCTCCAAACTAAGTGAAGTTTGAGGTAAAGCTAGCTGTGGATTATTTCCACCTCATTAAAAAACCCCAACAGCAAAGATATATTTACATTTTATACATATAAGCTTATTTCGAATAGAAGTTTGCAGTCTGATGAAGTGCATACAGTGCAAATATTATGTTTACTATCATATATATTAGTTATGAATATATTTCTACAGGATATATATATCTATATTTATAGATATATATGTATACATATATACATATGTACACACAAATATAAGCATATATAGTAAATTGGTTGATCAAACAAATACATTTGTTTTCAGAATTTAAATCACTAATAAGCACATATTTAGAGGAAATTGAGTGCATTTCCATAACTTTTTGGAAAAACATATTACATGGTAATTTGATCAATCTTGATGTAACAAAAACTTTATTTCTTTTATCAGTTTTAATCATTAATAGGCACATATTTGGAGGCATTTTTGAGATTTTGGAATAATTGCTTGCACACCTAATGTATACATGTACTGTATGTGTACAACCAAATGAAAAAATGCAGTTCATTTAAACACACACACCATGTTGTTATGCTGGTAGTATTTTGTGTGTGTCTGTTTGTTTTTGCAAGCATTGTAAGAAAGGTACAGACAAAGTAATCCAAGTATCTCTCAGTCACACCAGTGTTATTTCCAACATTGTACCCGTCTGCTTCAATCTTTGTTGTCTACAAAGACAACAATATTTTTTCTAGACCTACCGATCTGAGGCTGTAACTTATTAGTCAGGTTTTTTTTTTTGCACCTAATGTTTGATTCTTCATAGTAACTTAAGAAAAAAAAAGTCCTAAAACCATGGATTTGAGATGAAACAGATATGTCTTTCTGTGTAACTCCCCTGAAGGACAGCATTAGCTGGTATAGAGACACATTTCTGTGAACACAAACAGTTGGAAATGCATGTTGGAACAAGTGTCCATGGTGTTCTGGGGACTAGTGTCACCATTAAACACATTGCTAATGTGGTCTGTTGTGAGTCCAGGTGACAGCTTGTGATTGTGAAAAAGGACAGTAAAAGCTCAAATGCTCATGTCTGTAAAAGCAGCAGGGCTTCATATCTGTAGACACTGCATCGGGAATCTGCATACTATCTGCACAAATAGGCTTTTATTTGGGTTGTTGAGAGACAAACCCTTCTGCTTAAATATATATTTTTTACACTAAACCTGGATTTAGATGAATAACAAATGCAACGGTTCGTAGACAATGAATGCATCTGCTGAGCTACTATGGGACTAAAAACCACTGACTGTTTAACACTGGTTATTTTTTACCATTAAAAGTAAAGAATTCCACTCGGAAAGCGAAAGAGAGTATTACCATTCTCTCTTTATAGATGTAAAAAAAATGTACTCAGATAAAACACACTATTTAACTTGACCCAGACAAGTAAGAAAAGCCAGGCTTGTTAGGTTGGACCAGAAAGAAAGTGTGATATTTTCATCATCCAGTGTGAGGTCAAATGAAACACGACATTGTTCGGCAGAAGGACTCGTCTCCACTGACCTAAGTATGAGTTTGACCCGCTACATATGCTGCATTTAGATAGGACAAGGTAGGATGTGTACACAGACAGGCCTTGCTAATTAATGATGCTTGATTCCTTTAGGTTGACACTTATCTCCAAAAACAATTAACACCCGTCCCATTTAACCAGGCAGAAGAAATAAATCAAATGGTAACACAAGGGTGTGGAGTCCTAGCTCGAAGTAATTAGGACAGAGAAGAATGTAAAGGCCCTTAGCACTGTACTTCATTATCAATTGACAACCTGTATACCCCCTGACAGTGACTGATCTTCATAGGGAGCTGGCTGTGAAAGCCTGTGCACAAAGCAGAATGGAGACGAGAAATTAGATTTGCAGTCTTTTGTCCCAGTGAATAGACGCTACTCTTTTGCAGCTACCTGCTCAAATTCAATCAACCCACACCTTTTGTTGGCTGCGAAACTTGTAAAGCAGTAGTCAGCTTTTTGAATTTATTTACTCCCTTTGTGTCAACTAAAATTTGAAAAACAGACAAAATTTGGGAAGGCAGGAGGGGAAAAAAAATCAGGGCAAAATTGAAACTGGATTTCTTTAGAGAGTATAAACAACCTGCAGTTTGTCACGTTCTGTTTAAAGACCAATAAAAATCAGAAGAGGCTTTCTTTGATACAGTGGACGTGACTGCATCTGTCTTAGTCTTCTCTCGCAGGCAGTGTCTGAGTCTGATTATGCTTTCTACGTGGGTCTTCCTTGCACAAAATAATCCTGGTGCATGTCTTACATCTGTGTTTAATTAACAGGAGAGTTCTGCACGGAGTAATTCAATAATGAATCTAACAAATGTGAACTCAGCTCTCCATCTGAAACCATTGTTTTATAGCAATTAGAGCAGATGTGAATATAGTCCTTAAAGGTAGCCTCAAACACCGCTCCGCTTCTCTGTCCCACCAATGTCACGCATCTATGTTCACGAAATAGATTATACAGTAAAGAGAAGACACTCTACCCATTCCTAAAGGCTGTCCCATTGCTTTTTATCCTCCAGTCAAAGACTCCCAAAGCCCAATGTTTAATCACATTACGGAATTTTCCTTCCTTCAAAGCTTTAGTACAGTCTTAAACCATGCAATGTGCTTCAGTTTTTAACCGGCCATTTGTACAATTCACGGTCTCCTGTCAGCGACAGATGCTGCATTACTCCCAAATTCCCCTTCTTCTTTCATCAGCCCTGACATTAAAAGATAAAATTTGAACCAGATGGGGTTTGATCTTTAACATTAAACTGAGGCCACGTCCTGGACTATACAAAATGCCATCAATCACATCTATAATCTCCTTCTGCACTTTTCACACTGGCAAATATTCCACTGCTGCTCCGTCTTGACAATTTGTTACCTTCACTAGAGCTTGTTTAGAAAGTCAAAAGAACTTACAGGGCTACATCAATTCTCTTCATGCTGCAGGAGAGTGTCATTCAGGTAGCGTAAAAACAGTACACGGTAAAACACACATTTAAGTGTTTTTAATGAATAGCTTTTTCAATATTTGTTTTTACTGAAATTGAAGACGACAACAAAAATGGACCCAATAATATTTTTCGTATTTCCTATTTTATTTGACACTATAATCATATCACCTGAAGGTTTGTAATCCCAGAGTTTTATGCAGAGTACTCATTTGAGTTAATAGAAAAACTCAATTTTAGTAATTGTTTGCCTCGGGAGTTTACTCTCATTGGTGTCTTGTAGGTCTGCTTCCACAAGTGTTAATTTGGGAATTGTACTACATTGCAAGGTAAACAAGAAAAAGGTGCATCAATAAACATGCATGAGATCAGCAGCTGCCTGAGAGCTTCCTACAGGCAGTTCAGCTGTATGAGTCACACATTTATGGGTTTTTGCCTAATGTGCTTTACCTTCATTTTAACTCTAAATGGAATTGGCCTTTATTGCAGTTATTTCAAAGAACAAACTTAGAACCTGCAAACAAATGAATGTCCTTCCAAGACATTTTTAGAGAAGAGAACGTTGCTAGCATAACAATCAATGAGTTTGTATTATGATGTACGTTTAAATTTTTAGATGTGGCATGAAAAAAAAACCCTCTCAAATGACCACACAAAACATCCGTTTATGGAAAACTGATCCCTGGAGGACTTGAGATCAGTTTACCGCACCAGCAATCCTGAAAGTTCGCTGTCAGACCCCACACTGTGTGTTTGAGACAAAAGAAACACCAGACAAGACATGACTGTGTGGCACCAATGATGAAAAATCTCAATCTCAGAAGTTTGATCCTGAGACCTATCAATTTTTAGATTAGGAGGTTTTAATTTGACATCTTGAAGAATCTATTAGAGAACTGCCTCAGCAGTGATTGATGGGGCCAACAAAATAATACTGACTTCCATCTTGTGAAAATATTTGTGGCTCGTTCCTCGAAGGTTGATGCCGTGAAATTTACACACTTTCGTGCAGCCTTTCTAAAAGCCCTGCAATCCACGTCACCTTTGAGTCATTGCTATCCTTTAAGAGGCACCATAATGGTCAGTGTCACTGTATTAGTTTTATGACACTGACAGCATGACACAGACTATTACTCACCACTGTCTCCTGAGGAAGCCCTGTTACCTGATGACTTGCTCTACAGCAGAAACCCAGAAAATATTTATAGGACCTTTACTCAGTCTGGTGAACAAACAGTAGCTCCCAGTAGCTACTATTCATGCACCACAATAGAGAGGCTACAGTACATACAACAGCTGCATGCATTACATACATGCGTGTGTGTAGAAGTAATGAAAAGATATGATGCATCCTGATTGAAGGCTGGTAAATGGTGGTAATAACTATGTCTAAATGATGTATTGGTTGTGTTGACTGTTGAATATATATACATCTACTGCTGTTAGTTTATAAACTGAAAACATAACAATAGCAAAAAATTGCTGTATATGTGCACAATGATTTATTTTCCTGATGTTTAGTTCTGTGAACCAGCAGCTGTGGCTCATTCCTATTCACAGGGAACCAAACCCTCCTCTGAGGTTCTTTCTGGAGGTTTCTCCCATTTTTCTCTCATTTTTTAAGTTACGCGGCATTAAATGTAGCAACATCTGGCGGTCAGGTCTGAGGTTCCCTTCCTCGCTATTTCCATTCAGGCATGCAGGCTCACACATGTGCTACCGTGTTTTCCATTATTGCTACAACATACCTATTAATTTTGTAAAATATGAATGCATGGTTCAATGGTCTAATTTAAAAGTGTCATTCAGCAGACTGGCCTCCATAGAGAAGCTCCCACACTGACGTAAAAAAACGGGCTTATTCTGCATCAGTTATTATTTTTAGCTAGATATTATTATTAGTTTAGTTATTTTATATATTTTTTTTTTCTGTCACATTTATGAATGATAAATTATGGCTTATATTATATGACAGGTAATTATGACAAATTCTGGTAGTTTATATATGATCATGCTAATAATCAGCTAAACTATAATTAAATACATTCCTTAATATAACCAATACTTCCCAAGGCACTTTTTTAGCCAGCAAATGAATACCAAAACGAGAGCAGAGGTTATGATTAATATTGTTAAAACAATTACTATTAGTACAGCTGTCATTTTATATGTATATATTTTAAATTGGAGTTATACAATTTCCCTTTCTTTTTTCACAGAATTTGACCTCATTACAAAGTGTGTTTTTGTCCCGTCAGCCCCAAAGCCCTTCACTGTTTAAACACTTCTGATTGCAGATATGGTTTTCTGTCTTTGTAAATATTTTAAGCTATAGTGAGTCATCGAACAAAGGCGCGTCACACAAGACACAGCAAGGTGAAAATGCTAGGAGAAAGATAAGGAGGAAACATTGTGTTCATAAATTATAAAGCAAATGATGATACATGATAACTCTGTCTTCCTCATGCGTTCCGTTGAGGTTTTGAATCAATACAGCCCCCCCACTCAAGAAGGTGCAATTATGGACATTCCACAGTATCACTTTTGTGAGACAGACTGACAGTCCAACACAGTCCATCAATCAATGGTCTCCAGAGAAATATGCAAGACAACAATACACTCCACCATACACTAAGTATCTATAGGACGACGCGCACAGAATGTAACCAAACGGACAATCTACTGCTGCTTCCCTATTGTGCAAAGTACAGGATATTTGTGAAGGAATGACAATAAGCAAAACAAACAAACCTGGATGATAAAAAAAAAAAGTCCTGCTACATTCAGGAAACACGTCCTGACAAAATTGTATAATCTTGTAGTAAAAAAAGCGGCAAAGTGAGAGATGAGGAAAGAAAATGTTCAGGACAAACTCATCTTTCCATAATCCCCTAGTTTCTGTGCTTCCACTCTCCATTCCAACCTCCAATTACAAAGAGAAGAAATGCCTCGCTTTCTCACTCCTAAGAAATACACTAGCTCTACATCAGAACTCAATTTGGTTTGGTAATGAGACTGCGCTTGTGCATTTCCCCATGCAGACAGCCCAATCTTCAATTGCCAGCACACATGGGGGCTTTGCTTAGCAGGAAAGCTCTGAGGAAATTGACTGGTAAAAGTGTTGCCTTTTTTCATTTGGATGAAACATGTAGCTCACCTTGTAATGCTTTCCACAATGACCTTGGGATATTTCAGGGGACAAACATAACTGCATCCAGACTTTAGTTAAAAATGAAAATAAATGTGGAGTGAACGAGTGTTCAACAAAGCACTACCATTTGTTAAAAGATTAAAATAGAGACGAGCTTGACATGTCAGTGCCTTTAGTGAATAAATTCAGGTATCTTTTTCCATTCCAACTTTTAACAATGCTGGAGTGCCCTTGATCAGGATATTTATATTAAAAAAATAGCTGATTTGGTATCCTCTACTACTTACCCATAATATTTTCTTTAGCTAAAAACATTCAAAGGAAACTAATAAAATAGAAAATGCATGATCACTGCATGAACCATATGCAAATGCAGAATAATGTTTTTAGAATACGGTAGTCACATTCATTCCATGCCATATAAGTATTGGGAAACATCTACCTAAACTACCAAGTGCTATTGCAAGCAATTGATCAAAATCTAGCAGACGTGTTTATAATGAGAAGGCATTCTAGGTTATAATCAAATTATCAGAATAAATTATACGTGCGACCTTATGACAATTATATCATATAATGTTACTTTAAAACATGAGGCTTTTTTAACAGAAACTCAAGCCTAAAATTCACATTTCTTTTATAGTAGCTATTTCAAATAATTCAAATAATATATTATTATGTGACATTTTACAGGGTTCAGCATTGGACTCAATGTTGTTTATAATGTATGTTAATGCTACCTTCAGGGTTTTGATCTAAAAACGAAGTCTTTGAAGAAAAAAACTATCATGAACTTATGTCATGTAGAACTGGATGAAAACATATGGAAAAAAATTACACTTCACTGTGTGCATGTTCAAAGGCATCACCTATAAAAGCAACCTAATTTTATGCTTTTAAAAGAGTATTTCTCTGGTTAATGTAAAGCCAGATTCATTCAGATACCAAAAAAAGAGTAAAAGCAGATTAAATTTCAGCACAGCTCAAGAAAAGTTATAATAGGCAACACTCTTTAGTCTGTGGTAAAAGGATTGGACTCACATAGTCATCGTATGATTCATGTGTGACTGCTAACAGCGGGACCCTGTATCCAGCACTCCCTGCTGCAGCCCTGCCTTTAGGAGCTCGTGGCTCTCTTGTTAAAGCAGTTGTGGGGAGTTTGCTGTGTGAAGCTGCTGCTGCTGCTGCTGCTGCTGCTGCTGCTCCTGTCCCCCGAGGTGCTGTTACACTCCTTCCTGTTCCTCTGTGGCCCCTGGTAAAACAAACAAGCAGACAGGCTTGGCATTAATTTACCTACAGATTCTCACTGCACCATATGCGTAAACAAGCCACAGTGATCTAAGTGAAGAACTGCAGTTCAAACAACATCTGCAATATGTTTAATCCTTCTCTAATTGCATATGGCTGCCTATGCTGAAGGCTGGAGGTAACATCAGGGAGCAGGGAGCTTGTTCTGGTGATAATCATGTGACATGCACTGTCTTGTCCAGCTCTGAAATTTAATCAACAATACACTGATGTTTGAGTCAGAAACAATCAGAACACAAAAGGCACAGCAGATTTAGACAGGTAATGTACATATATAGTTATTTGTTGTGGTGGAAAGAGGATACAACAATAGGTCCATGTGAACAGCACAGGGACTAGAAGGTGGATTAAGCTTTTCATAACCATCCATTGTCTGGTAAGATGCTTTTTTGGGCTGCATAATGTAGGTGTGCTCTGAGCCC